CATGCTGTCGATTATACGCTCTGGCTCCTCGCTCTGATTATTCGTCACGCGACCACCCCTGGCCAGTACCGGGAACAGGGAGTCGCTCGCAAACAATGAGAATGAGACTCGAGCGCTCGGCCGATCGCCGATCTCCAGGAGGACGTCGGACGGGATCGAGATCGACGCTGCTCCGATCGCGGGCTCGTGTTTGTCGACGAACAGCTGAAAGGATCCGCCGGCCACAGGGCTGGGCTCGCTCTTAGTAGTCGGTGCAGCTCGTGTTGAGGACAGCGACGTGAGACCAGCCGGCAGAACGTTGAGACCGACGCGGTAGCCCGGCTCGATGCTCAGAGGTATGTCGGCAATGCTCACCTGGATGTCGTTACGTAGCAGAGTGCGTGACGTGTAGCCGTTAAGATCGGCACGTGCCGTCAGCTTCTCAATGGTCTGCAATAGTCTGCAGGAACAGGGCACGACAACACAGGAAAACACAGTGCGTGCTTTAATGTTTTGAAAACACACTGACAAGTGCACCGCTCCCTCCCTCCTCCCCCCCCCCCCCCCCCGCACATGCACACACAAAATAATATAGGTGATGCATTCCCAAAACAAAACTATTGACCAGTTCCAGTTCCTGAGCATTTCAGTCTACAAGGTTGATCAACTGGCCTGGATAGCATTTTAATGCCGAGCACTAAATCAAATACACAGGTAAGCAGACTGGCCCCGCTACAGGATTCCAATACCCTGCCACCCCCCCCCCCCCCCCCACCCCCTTTGAAACACCACCCTCCACCCCCCCCCTCCCCTCCCCCTCCCCCCTCCCCCTCCTTTGAAACACCACCCTGCCAGGAACTATCCCATTGCACTGTGCAAACACCCTTCCTTGCTTAGCGGCCTGACCAACGATAGGCAATGCTCGACGGTGGTGAAATTTTAACATTACCTTGCTGACGAATTCTTCTCACGCTGGCTGTCGGCAATGGCCGTCGTGGCAGCATTCTGCAGGATGCCGTCGATGGCAGACACAACAGTGTCTTCAAGCTGTGCAAGACAACAAGAAACCGAAACTTGAAAAAAGCTTTTCCAAGAACTCGCAGACTCCAGTGCAGCCATTTACACAATCGGGTCCCTCAAGTCAAATACTCAACACGGTCTCTTCTCTGCATTTATTTTAATATTCATTTTATTAAATGTAGGGATTCCCCACAGGCTGTTCGCCTGTCGACGGGTTTCCTGTTTTCGCTTCAGTGATGAGATACGTGGGATAAGAAAACTGGTAAGAGAGGGAGGAAAAAAAAAAAGAAGCCAAAGAAAGGAAAAAGAATACATCACTATTAAAAGTGTTCACCGAATGTTTGGGGCATGCCCGTCATCACGGTGAAAATAGTAAAACTAATTGGTGTATTTCTAGAACTATTTCCCCGCTATTCTCTGTAGTATTGACCCAATTAAGTTAACAGGCTAACCACTGCTACACTACGTATGTCCATTTCTACAACTTCCAGATCGCCAAGTGACGTGCAAGTAGGGTGGCAACAAATGCACTTTGGGTCCGATTTCAACGGAGCACGGAACGGGAACACACCTTGGCGGCGTCGGAAACGGTCGTTTGCAAGTTTGCCAGGCGTTCCAGCAACGTGGACGTGAGACTGACGTCAATGGAGTCCAGCGCATTCGTTTCCGTGGCGATTTCCTCCACGCGATGTCCAATCTCCAATGCATTGGTTTCGGTCACTGTCTCCTGTGAACGACAAAAACACAACGGGTTCAGTTTTTTTAATTAAAAGTAAAAAATGGCCAGTAGGTAGAGTGTCAGAACTATACACGTAGGACATGACTTCACACAGCAGGAAATTCAGATGGTGTTGTCGTGCATGCCACATTCACACACGCACACACATACGCACACACACGAGAACACATACGCACACACACGAGAACACACACACACACACAGTATACGGTCAAAAATGAGACTGAAGTCAATCATGTCCAACCTGACCCAATCCCATACTCATGCCCTCCAACACTACACAGTGATGTAATCAGGGTCAAGACACCCTCAGCCTCAGGGGTGGAATCAGGGTCAAGACACCCACGGTGATGAAATCAGGATAAAGATACCCTCAGAGGTGGAATCAGGGTCAAGACACCCATAATGTATGTATGTGTATGTATACTTTATTTGAATTCGCAAATCCAAACGAGCACAAATGCTCAATGACAAGGCAGCGAATATGTTATTATGTTACAGGGAAGGAGGGTTGGGGAGAAAATAAGGAGAACAAAGAGAGAATGGTAGATATCTCAATGAAGAGCGAAGCGTTATCAAACTACAAGTAAGCCAGCGAACGATAAGTCGATAGTTCTGTAACCCGCCTAATAAACTAAGTACTTTTTTCAGGCGTGCAGTGGACTGTCATTAAAACAGAAACAGAAAAATAATAATAAGGCACCCATTTTGTTTGTCCAGGGGATGGCCCACGCCTGGTAAAGAGAATAAAATAGAGAAAATAAAATAGAAATAAAATAAAAAACAAACAAACAAAGTACTAAACAGTTACTGCTAACGAGAGTACTTGCTACTAACATCGGGAGGATGAAAGGCCCAACCCTGCCCTGCCAGTTACGGACTTGCGGGGGGTCGCCATGGCAAATAATAATGGTAAACAGTGAAAATCAATCACAGACAGGAAGCTGTCTCAGGGCAAGTTTCTAATCATAACATCAGGAAGATCGGAGTGTATACGGTACGACGGCAGCTTTGAAGCTGCTGAGAGACGACAGTACTCTGACTGCATCCGGTAGGACGTTCCAAAGGGCACTACCTCGGGAGGCAGGGCGAGATCGTCCGGCGCGGGTTCGTGTAGCTGGTAGACGGAGCCCCAGGGCGAGATCCAGGCGCGTCCTACGATCCGCGCCACGTACGAAGAGCTCCTGGAGGGATGGACTCGCACTGGCGTGTATGCACCTCCAGACAAAGACCAGGACCTTCTGCCGATGTATTTCTCCAATCCTGAACACCTGCATGCGTTCCAGGAGATCACTGGCACGAGAGAACCCCGGCCGGCCATAAACTGCTCTTGCCCCACGGTTTTGTGCTACTTGGAGCCGGTCGGTCTGGGCCTGAGTGAGACCTGGGCTAAACGCAACGGACCCATACAGTAGATCCGGCATGATAGCTGCCTTGAAGAACAGCACACGGCTAGCAAGTGTTAGCGACTTTCGTGTCCGCCACAGAGTTCCAATTTTCTTATTGGCTTTCGTGATGCTCGCATCAACCTGGGGCTGCCATGACATGCGTACATCCAAGGTGATGCCAAGGTAGCGGGCACTGGTGACGCTTGGCACGGGTATGCCATCGCACTTTACCACAACGTTGGGACTCTGGCCATTGGATCCTGCAAAGACAAGGAGCTGACTCTTGGCGGCGTTGAGGATGAGACCACGGGAGGCTAGCCAGCGAGCTAGGTTAGAGACGGCTGTTGTGAGCTCAGAAGAAACGAGGTCAGCGCTGCGGCGGGTGGAAGTCAAGGCTATATCGTCTGCAAACTGGATTGACATAGTCGGGCAGGTAACAGTCGGTACGTCTCTAGTGTATATGCTGAAGAGCAGCGGCCCCAGGACCGAACCCTGCGGAACACCGCAGGTGCATGTAACAACCCTGCCGAGTCCGGTACCAGTGCGCACTTGCTGTTGGCGACTTGACAGGTAATGTTTGAACCAAGTCAGTGCTCCTCCAGTAACGCCAATGTCAAAGAGATCCTGGATAAGAATGCTGTGCTTGACTTTGTCGAAGGCTTTAGACATATCTAGAAGGCAGGTTGCCACAACTAGACCGTCATCTCGCCCAGTGTCGACTCTGTCAGTTAGTAGGGAAAGAGCGTCTTCCGTAGAGTGTCCATGACGGAACGCAAATTGGGTCACTGGCAAGATGTTCATCTGTGCGACATGTTCCACCAACGATTTCTGCACGACCTTCTCAAGGATTTTGGACAGTATCGGTAGCAGTGATACCGGTCGGAAATGTTTGGGAACAGAGGGATCACCAGACTTGTGGAGCGGAACAACGTGAGCTAATTTGAACTGCTGTGGAACTTCGCCGCTGGATAATGATGCATTAAACAATGTGGTAAGAGATGAAGCTAATATATCAGCACAATACTTGATTAGGAGACCCGGGATTCCATCACTTCCAGTAGCTTTGGCCGGGTTGACTTGCTGCAGCAAGCGCTCCAAAGCACCCACTGTGACGGGTGGAAAGGACACTAGGGAATGCTCTGCAGGGGGTCCCGCAGGCAGGAGTAGTTTGGATGGCCGAGTGATGTCGGTGACGACAGTCTCGAAAGCAGACGTAATCGCCTCTACACCACACGATGGCTCCTGATGTGTCCGCTTTCGACCGGTAACGGAGTTTATGACGGACCATAGCTGACGGGGGTTTCCCGTGTTCTCCGCGCACTTGTTTCGAAAGAACTCGTTCCGTTTACGCCTGTAGGCATTTGATGCAGCGGACCGGGCCTGTTTGAATGCTGAGTGGGCCTGCTGGCAAGTTTTGTCCGATAGCCAACGCTTGTGCAGCCTGTTCTTCCGCATAGTGAGCTGATACAGCTCTCTGTCCGACCACGGTGGTTCGCTTGGGCGTTTCCGGCTTTGCTTGCAAGTGAATGGAGCATGGCGATCCAGAACAGTTATAAACTTTGAATGCCAGTCTTGCCACATTTCGTCCACGTTAGCCTGAGCAGGAAAAGCATACAAGTTTGCAGCAGTAAGGTCATTTCGGAAGTCGTTTATATTGATGTTGCGGAGATTTCGGGTGGATGTAGCCGGCTTACTGGTCGACTGCTTGGGCACGGAAATGTCCAGCTTGGCAAGAACTGCAAAGTGGTCACTGATCGTGCACTGAATGACATGGCACATCGCTACTGTTTCGGGACGGGCTAGGATTAGGTCGATTACGGTACCTTGGGGGCAGTCGGGCGTCACGCGCGTGGCACTATCCACATGGTTTGCCAGACCATATGCACCTGCCAAGTCAAATAGATGGCGAGTTTGATAGTGTGTCCTGCTGGTATCAATACCAGGCGGTCTGGCATTCGTGTTGAAATCGCCGAGGAGAGTTATCGATGGGGTTATCCGTGAGGCTCCGTCAAGCGCTCTCTCTAGTCGGGTCCAAAAGCTGATAGGCTCAGTTGGTGGGCGGTAGACACAAGCAAATACATGGTGGGCTGTCCCAGAATTCGTTGTCTGTAACCAAAGAGCTTCCAGGCCATCCTGCGCAAGGTCCAGCCGAGGTTGGAGAGCAAGAGATGAGCGATAGTAGAATGCCACGCCGCCTCCTGGGCGCCCACGGTCAAGTCTCACGAGGGAGTAGTCTGGGATGACTAGTTCTCCATTACTGATAGTCTCATCCAGCCATGTCTCTGCAAGGCCAATAACGTCGATCTGGGAGCTATCTAGGAATGATTGAATCAGAGTCAAGACACCCACAATGATGGAATCGGGGTAAAAAAACTCCCCCTACTTACCCCGGTTAGCTGGTACAGATCGTTGGAGACTGCGGACTCGAAGCGACACTGCGACACATCGGCCGGCAGCCAAACAGGCTGGATGGTAGCCGGGTCCCAGACGCACGTCCTCTGCGCCACCGCCTGGCTTGCCATGAAGACACCCGTCAGGCCGGCGGTGCTCAACTCCTCGTCGATGTGGCCGAACGGGCATGGCTGCGATACGGTGGCAGTGGCTGCGTAGGTCAGTGGCCACATGAACGTGCCCTGGACCGTGTCTACAGTCTCCGCTGGACATGGTACTGGGAAGAGAGCTGGACCAGAAAAACAAAATGAGACAAGACGTTAGGAAAGCATGCAACGAGTATGGCGTATGTCACCTGACCTACCACCCCCCCCCCCCCCCCCTCCCACCACCACCCTCATACCTCCCTACCCACAGCGACGAAAAAAGAAATCCAGCCCATGGATAAAGCAGAGCTGTGGTGCACTGCACAGCCCACTGCTCATAGTGCTCGGGTTGAAACTTTCTGCAAGTGATGGCCTAACCTGATGCACACTTTATACTCTACTCGAACCTGACTAAGGACATTTTCTGGTGATTCGATGCTCAAACACCCATATGGGGCCATGATGTACATGCACGTGGAGAAACTAATCTCCGAGATTTATAACAAAACGTCACCACTCACGGGTACAGAGCGTGCCACTTCCAACGAATCCTTTCAGGCAGGAGCAGTCGAATGATGTCGACGTCATCGAACAGTCGGCATTGGCATGACACGAGTGACTGCCCGTCAGGCATTGGTTCTCTCGGCACTCGCGCCCGTCGCCAAGGTAACCGGCGAGGCACGCGCACTCGAACGAGCCCACCGTGTTGTTGCAGGCGGCGTTCCTATGGCAACCATGGCTGCCCTGCTGGCACTCGTCAACCTCGGCACAGTCCACGCCACTACCCTCGTAACCACGACGACAGGTGCAGCGATACGACCCGGCCAGGTTGGTACAGTCTGCATTCACGCTACACGGCGAGGCCATGCCACATTCGTTTACGTCCACGCATCGACCGCTAGCGCTGTTCAAGTTTGTATAGCCGCTGGTGCAGCGGCACTGAAAGCCGCTGCTGCCGTCGTCTATGCAGTCCTCGGTGGTCTCGTTGCAGTTGTGCGAGCCCGTGGCGCAGAAGTCGATCTTCACGCAGTGCCGGTCCGGGAACTCGCTCACCTCGTAACCGTGTTCGCAGCGGCACTCAAACTCGGTCGGCGTGGTAACGCAGACAAACTCCAAAGAGCAGTTGTGCAGGCCGGCCACGCAGGGGTCGATGCGCACGCAGTGATTGGTCATCGAGCGGCGGTAACCGTGGCTACAGATGCACGACGCCTGCAGCGTGGAGAAGTCCATGTCGCACACCTCGTTGCGCTGCGTGCCCACGTTGCACTTCTGCAGATCGTACTTGCACCGGTCCACGGGCGTGCAGCCCACCGTCGGATCGCCCTCGTGGAGCAGGTCGCAGCGACAGGTGAACGTGTCGTTGCCCGGGTAACAGTGCACGTTGGGCCCGGTGCAGTTGTGCCGCTCCAACACGCACAGGTCGATGGCGATGCAGCGTTTGGCGGCGTCGTCGTACGTGTTGCCCGGGTAACAGTCGCAGCGGTACGTGCCGGGGAGGTTGACGCAGTGAGCGTCTCGCTCAGCGCACTTGTTCTGCCCCACGTCCTCAGCAGAACACTCGTCAATATCCAGGCAAGTTCTCGGGTTGTCTTCCGGGAAGGCGTTGTAGCCACGACCACACTTGCACGAATACGAACCGGGCACGTTGCTGCACACTGCGTTGTCGCTGCACTGGTGTGTCCCGTCAGAGCACTCGTCAACATCCAAACACAGTGTGTTAAGTGGATCCGAGTCCACGATGGGTTTCTCCTCGCGGTACCCAGTAATGCAGGCACATCGGAACGAACCGTCAGTATTCCGGCAAGCAGTGTTGATCGGGCACTGCACGACATCGTTGCCATCGTCGTTGTTATCATCCGCTGTAGTGGTTGTTGCCGTTGCCGACACAGTGACACATTCCTCCACGTCAGTGCAGTTCACGTAAGCATCGCCATGGTAACCATCCACACAGCTACACATATAAGACCCGACCGTGTTGGTACAGCGACTGTGCGGGCCGCACAGCGATGGAGACCGGCCCTCGCTCAGTTCGCATTCGTCCACGTCCGAGCACGTGCGTCCATCGCCGCTCATCCCCGACGCACACGAACACACGTAGGATCCCGCTGCGTTTGTGCACGTGGCCGTGACGTGACACGTGTGCTGCTGTGTCGCACACTCGTCCTCGTCGTCGCATTCCGTCCCGTCGCCAAGGTAACCATCATGGCAGCGGCACTCGAACGTCCCGGGCAGGTTGGAGCAGGTGGCGTGTGCCGTGCTGCAGTTGTGCGTGCTCGACTTGCACTCATCGTCATCAATACAGGCAGCGCCGGGGGGAGGCTGTCGGCTGAAACCGTCATCGCACAGGCAACGGTACGACCCGACAGTATTACTGCAGTGCGCGTTTAGACCACAGGCGACCGTGCGATTGCTACTCTTGGAACATTCGTTCACATCTTCACACGTCGCCGACGCTTCTTCGTTGTTGATGTCGGCGACGAAAGTCACGTAACCGACGTCGCACGGACACTCGTAACTTCCGTGCGTGTTGACACACTGGGAATTGGACGGACATAGGACAGCCGTACCGTTGATCTCGCACTCGTTCAGGTCGATACAATCGCCTACCTCGCTCGCGCCCTGCATGATGAGGCCCGGCGCGCACCCACACACGTTCTCGCCGTTGGTGCCCGTGAGGCACGTCAGATTGCCCGGACACGAGGTGGGGTCCAGCAGGAAGCATCGGTGCTCCACGTCCTCGCAGTCAAAGCCGTTGCCGACGAAACCCGGCTCACACCGGCACTGGAAGGAACCCTGCGTGTTGTTGCAGGTGGCGTCGTCGTGGCACGGCGACGATAGACACTCGTTAACGTCCACACAGGTGTGCGACAGCTCACTCAGCGCAAAGCCGTCGTGGCAGCACGCCCGATGGCCGAACAGGCAGTGCGCGTACGGCGGACACGGGTGATACGCAAGCACGGGAGACGAGGACACGATGGATAGGTCGAAACACGTCGAGGACGAGTAGTCTGCAAAAACAAACAACAAGAATAGAAAGAAGATAACAGTGACAACGGGGAAAGAGTTGTTGGATCATTACTGCCTAGATAAGCGAAGAGGGCACAGCGGCTCAGTCCTGGCCGTGAGAGTCCTGGCAGGCTTTTTTTCGGGGGATTCACAGAAGCATTTTGCGACGGCGTCCTATGTGGGTTGGGTAAGGTGAGTTCAAGTGTACAAGCTCTCAGTCAATCCTCGGTAGTATAGTGGTAAGTATCTCCGCCTGTCACGCGGAAGACCCGGGTTCGATTCCCGGCCGGGGAGGACATTTCTTTTTTACTCAAGTTTTATTATATTTTTGATTCTATCAATGCATGGACGGCAAGTGTATAGTCACAATTCTTTTGCTTGTGCGGCGTCTGTTTGAACGGGGAGGTCAACTGCAACAATCAATACAAGTAATGGCCATTTGATGGGTTGGATCTCATCACTGCAATACACGGAGAACCCCTAGAATGGGACGCGGCATCGCAGAGCAACTCACCCGCCTGGCAGATGAAGTAGCGCTGCTCGGAGCAGTCCAGGTTGTTCCAACCGAAAGTTCCGTCATACGCCAGCACCACACATGACATGTCCACGGTGGAGTGAGCGGGGTTCGGCCGTGGTGCATAGGGCAGCCAGTCCATGTAGATTGGTACTTGACCAGATTGCCATCTGTGAGCACATACAGCAGATCGAAGAATCGATTTGAGGTTTTATTAGCTGTTGTTGCTTTTGCTACTCCTTCGTGTTCCCTCCTAACCTGTAATCATCGCTATCGCCGTGGTTGGCTATCACCCACTCTCTTCACATTGGTCGGTGTTTTCACTGTCTTGAGATGGGATAAATAATACAATATGAGAATGATTTACGACATGCGGCCTATGGGCGCTATGTGCGCAGCGTGAGTCGCTAGTGCAAGTGCAGCGCTGCGCCGCGACTTCACCAAAGCATTTAAACTGATGATGTCATCGCATAACCTCCGCACACACACATACGGACTAGCGCATATACTTCTTTGAAGTACACGCATACACACACACACACACACATGCACACATGCACACGCACACATACGGACTAGCGCACATACACACACACACGTACGCACACATGCACACACACCCGACTAGGTCAGCCGGGCAGTACAGTACCTGTAGGATGAAGAATCATTGGATGTTCCGTTAGCTTTCAATCCGATCCATGCAACGCCACTCAGAGCTGCACCAGCTGGATTTGACAACAACATCGTCTGCAGGGCACTCTGCGTGTTGTCACTGAGAACGTCCACAAGCCGTCCGCCATTGCTGGTACAGAAGTCTTGCGCACTTGGCCAAGTTCTCGTTTCATTGCCGAGGAAATAGAGGTGGTCGGCAGAGCTTGACACGACACTCAGAGACCCAGCAGCTAGAGTAAACAGGACAACAAGCAGCAAGAAAAATAATCAAAAAATTAATGATAGCGAATGCAAAGGTAAAAATTGTGGATCGGAAAAAACACCGGACCTTAGCCAAAAAATAAAGAAGTTCGAGAGATCCGCCTGTGAAGTGTGATGCATCACTGCACCGGTGCACCGGTCACACCCGGCCTGTCAACTCTTTCCAAAAAAATTGTACTTGGAGTTTGCAGTGGCACGCATGACCCTCGCGACCGCGCATGAATTCGTGGGTTTCCTCGGTGTTCTAGTTTCTACCATGCCACACCTCTGACCCGGACATGGTCAACCCGGATGTCCTCCTCCGCGTCCAAGCCACATGCGGGACTGGCAGAGATGTCAACCTCAAGTCAAGATAAGAGGATTTGAAGTAACGACAAACCTACTTCAGTGTGCAGTTTTGTTCTGTACCGGCCCTCCCCAGACTACTCAGCGGTATATGCCCAGTGTCAACTGTACATGGACACGTCGTATTCTATAATCTCTTCCCTGCCGTTAGCGCGTTCGCATTTCAGTTGAGCTTCAGTGAACGATGGATCACGGGTAAACGACATGATGTTTTGACATGTTGAAGAGCGAGATAAGAGGGTGGCTTGTTCAAGTTGTTGTTCATTTTCATCAACACATTGAACTTCCGATGGGTTAGTGTCTGCCCTCGAGGCACGACATTAGCGCCGAAAATGCGCCGGCTTGATTATCTCCAATTAGACTGCTGATGAAACGCTCGAACTGGGCAAGATCTACATCTACATGTACATTGTAATTAATGTGTTACACGTACATGTATTATTAAAAATTAAACATTTGATACGGTTCGCGAGAGATCCAGTGGACGCCAGCCTCGGGCTGACTTATCTGCATCTCCAGACACGCCACCACCCTGTCATTAGGCCTTGGCGGATAATGCCGGCAGAAAAATTGGCAGAATTCGGTACTTTTTCTGGTAAGTTTCATGCATGTTTGGTATGTGGATAAAGAAATGGAGCAGAATTCGAGGAATTGCCCGCCATAAGGTTTGTATGGTTCTGCCAATTTCGGTGCAAAAAAAGCAGAATCTGCCACCTTTTCGAGCATTATCCGCCAAGGGCTACCTGTCATACCCCACGCCCACACCGTACTGTACATGCGTGGCTAGTATCAGCTAGTGGCTTTCACTTTGAACTTGAAGTACAGTAGTCATGTAAACACCACACGCATTGTACAATTAATTTAGCTGCATGTACATAATTATGACGTTACATTGGCAGCTGAGTGCGTGTTTGATATCTGACGTGAACGTGCTTTTTTTGTGGTGCGTTGCCACCTCGTCCCATTCTGCCACCCTGCCATTCGCCTAAACTACGGATATAGATTCTAGGACTCCCTCCATACATGTACATGTACATACACCTGGGTATAGTCTCGAAGAACGACAGGCAAACACGCTGAACCGGTTAATGGCGTTATGCCCCATTGACTCACACCCATAGATACGGGCTGCCATTGGTCTTGATTTAGCTCCACTGTTCGGGGGTCCTAAAAAGAACAATTGCCGTCAGATGAAGCCTTGCAGAACTGTGGAGGGCTGCAGGGTGGGGAGTTTTTTGTACAGCGCCTTTTTAAAGATCCCAGGGTCAAAGAAGAGCGGGCGTTATCTGTGCACCGCAGCTACCGGCATGTGCCCTAAATTCCGATTGGATCGTGTACGTCGGGCAAGGTACTCGCCAAGGCCGATGTACGAGTGCCAGTTATAACTGCTGTTGCTTCGTGTGCGAGCGGGCCCGCCCGGTTAGCAAGCCTGCCTTCGGTCACGCGGCGATCGATATCAGCGGCTTTGGCGACGGTCGAATTCTTAGCGGCACACTCATTGTGACTCAACGCAGGATGGGCGCACGTTAGCGATTCGATCGGGTAAGTGAGAACTCTACTCGTGGTAGGTTTACCACGGCCGTTAACGCGTTGAAGACTGGCGTCAGTCGTGCGTGCCGAAAAAAACTCGGCGATCATTGTCCAACGGCGGCGATTTGCTCAAGATTATGTTCCTCATACTAAATTTAAGATTGGACTACACTACCTGTAGATTACATGTAATGAGCCATGGAGGTCATTATCGCAGTATCGGAGGAGAGCGCGCAAGTCTTCTGTAACGAGAAATGAGCTACATACCCACATCAATATGGATGGGTATGGCAGGGCTGAAGAAATCGGACTCAATGTTGAACCCTCTCTACTTGAAGGACGACGACACCACAGCTTAGTGGTTACAGCGTTTTTGGCAAACCCCATTGTATGGTCCCGGGTTCGAGTCCTGGAGGTGGAAATCAGTTGTTTTGTCTTCCGACCTTTCCCTTCAAGTTCAGCTTCCTCAAACTGATGAGTACTATATGACGGGCACAACGCATTGCTACGTCAGTTAGCAACTGGATATTTGAGTTCCAAACCCGAAAATAGCTCGTACTAATCAGGTCCCTACTGTTCGTGTCGTGTTCCCATTAAACCGAATGGACAATAAATCGCATCGGGAAGTCACCGGTTGATTGTTAGGCATGACAGTCTCATGAAAATGATTGTATTGTAGTTTTGTGGGATTACCCAGATGCTCAAGGGCTGTCTAGGGGATGATCGTTGGAAGCAAGAAAGAGTTGCGTGAATTCGCCCTGCATCCTAACTCTTCAGACTGTAATTTTCTTGATAAAACTCCACGGCTCGGCTTTTTGTTTGCGGAGGAGGGGGGGGGGGGGGTCTTGCTTGTGCGTGCACTGCATGCGCGTCGAGCGGTCTGTCGGTTGGTGGCGACGAAAGGCCGCTGATAACCAGCCACTGTGTACGACCTAACTTGCTATACAATTGGTAACGTCTGCGTTCGTCATGATAACACGCAACTGGGAAAATGACACAAGTAATAGTTGGAACATGAACCCGTGAATAGCGCGGCCCCTTTCGCTTAACTATAGCATAGTATCTTTGCAGTGAACACTTGTGTCTGCTGGGAGCTACTAATACTAAGAAAGTAGTTAGTTAGTACTAGTGCCTTGCTGCCAGCACTACCATAGTTGTTCATGTACTTGCTACCGATTGCGCTCTACTTCGAACGCGCTAACTTAACACCATGTCCTATAGTTTGCACCGGGGAGTAGTAAAATACATGTATTTTACTACTCCCTGGTTTGCACTACAGAAAAAAGGGTATAGGCAGGAAGCTTGCCAGTCCCATTCAACCGGTCTCCCAATAGTTGTGAGCAAAGCCTGTTACACATCTACTTTGAAGCACTAGTGTTTCGTCTCCTTGTACTTCGAAGAAGTGGCCGCGAAACAGGCTCTGTTACCGATTATCACTTTTGTTCTCTCCTAATCAAAATAACCTGCTCTCTGCCTGCACTCAAGCGAAGTTAACGCGAAACACGTGTATAGTGAACTGCACGGCATTATGTGAGCATCCGTTGCCCCAGCCTTTTGCGGTTGGCACAATGGAAGGCTGGATAATACAGATCTCAAGTTACCGGTTCCCTAGCCAACGCTTGGCGGATACCATCATTTGGAACAAAAGGAGCGTAGCACGCGTGACCCTGTTGCTACGATTACCGGTTTGAGGCTGGATGTGTCTACTATCATCGGTAAGATGGGAAGAGAGGTTCGTGTTGTGCAGTAACGCGTGAACGCTTCACCGCACAGTGGCCATCTAGACAGAAGGTTTGCTACCAAACGCGTTAGACTACTCGATGACATTAATTTTAGTTCATGCTGTAGCTGAGCGTTCATGTAGGCCGCGATCAGAATTGAGTGATGGCGTGTGCACTACGACTTGAATTTTGCTTGTCAGTAGTTCGTCGCCGTCAGGAATCAGCGGATGACCACGAATCACATCTACAGAATCCCGTTGAAGGGCAGCGAAATACGATTATGCCGTCCCAGAGACGGACATGGCAGCATTCTTTTCACGGTACCCCGCGCCCCAATCAGTTCCAACATCCCCCCCTGTCCGCCCTCTTCACTCATCGACATGCATGCACGAGCCATCACCCAACCACTCAACTCGACTGATCACACAGCATGGGATTGTCCTCAATATTCCCCCCATTCCTTCCAGGTCCGGCGTTCTGGCGTTGAATTTACGACTTCTTGTATCATGCAGCAGATGTAGAAAAGATTGAGGTTCTGGTCCGACTCACACCTAAATGTTTAGGTCGTCGGCATAACGCGACATCCCGGGACAAACCCGGAAGGATGTGCCACTAGGCAGCCTCGCGGAAGGCAAGTTGATCGCGTTCCCATCGCACTCTGATCGCAACACTACATGATACACGTAACCGTCCGTGCCCTAGGCCCTGTGGCCGCGCGCACGCACGAATTCTGCCCGTGGCTGCGGTCTCCGTCGCGATGCGGCGAGAACTGTACATTGTAGTCGCCCGTGTGCCTACGGGTACTACAGCCTCCATCGCTTCGCTGAGAACGCACTTCGGCAAGGAATGATAGGAGTGTAAACAGGCCAAACCCGTCACCACACTATTCTTCCATACTCGTGCACAGGCACGTCCTATGGCCCATGTCATGGGGGAGTATTAGTATGTTGTACACGCAACCATTGGCCTTCCTGGCTGCACACAATTACATGGACGGTGATGGAGATATAGCGTACGGCATATTGCACGGTCCTGCACACAGGTACATCACTACATGTACATTGCATACTAGCGAAGCAATCCACACATCATCGGACTACAGTACATTCTTCTACTATTCGGCCAGTATGACTAATACTGTGTTCACGTCGTCCTGGCGGGTGAGAAATGTGAAAGTGGCCATATTGGGGTTTGCACCCGCCTCTCAGCACCGGAAGTAGAACTTAGCTTTAAAAGCAAGTTAGTTACAGGCTCTGTTGCCATTGCCGGCATTGGTAGATCATGTACTGTCAGTATACTTCCAAGTCTCACACATGCTGGTGACAAGAGAACTACGCAGGAGGAATTCGATGCAGCTCCAGGAATTCTACGCC